AAACAAACGTAGAAGAGGAACCAAGTTTTTTTAATTTTAATAAAAAAAAGTCCAAGGGATCCAAAATTCTTTCAAATTCCTTCCAAAACAAAATACCAGGGGACCCACGATTTTTTCAGATTCGTTAGAGGAACTTCTATAAATTTTTTGGAAGTCTAAACATTTTACGTCTTTCGATTCTAACAGAAAACGTAAAAAAAGGCGAGGAAAAAATATGTCAAAAGAAAGCGGAAAAGAGTAAAAAAAACATCACAAAAAAAATGTGACAAAAAGGGAACAGAAAAGGGACAAAACAGGAGATATAAAGACGACTGACAAAAACGAAAAAAAATCCACCAAAATAGCGAAACACAATAAAAAGAGCGAGGAAGTGAAAAAGTGGTCAAAAAGCTATAAAAAACGACAAAAAACTGCCCAAAAAAGCCGACAAAAACAGGTGTTAATTTTCTGAGCATATCAATAATTTTTTGGTAAGGACAACAAAAACGGAAAAAGCTACAAGAAGAATAACAAAGACAGCGAAAAAGGGCAAGAAGGGAACAAAAAGTTACAAAAAAAGGTAATAAAAAGAAAGAGGAAAACAAAAACATAAAAATAGGACAATAAAAGCGACAAAAAAGGCGAAAATAGTTTCATCAAAAAAATGCCAAAAAAAGAAACAAAAAAAAACAAAAAAATTCATTAAGAAAAGGTGAGAGAAAAACGCAAAAAAACACGGTAACAAAAGGATATTAAACAGACGACAAAAAAGAAAATAAATGAGAAAACGCTATAAAAAAAGCGGGAAAAGTAACGAAAAGACAACATAAAAAACGATAAAGAGAGGAGACAAAAAGACAATGAAAACTATAAAAAAAACTAAAACAAGGGACTAAACAAATGTAACCAGAAATGCCAAAAAAGAAAAAAAGTAAAAAACTATAAAAGGGGCACAAGAAATCGTCCAAACACTTACGAAAATGTTTATTAATCTGTTTTAAAGAGGAAGTGCTTTTAAATTTTTCCTAAACATTCTATGTCTAAATATTTTTCGACGCTAACAAAATGCGTAAAAAAAAGAAAAAGATATCCAAAAAAATCTCAAAAAAGGCGAAAAAAGGCAAAAATGTTTAGCAAAGAAAAAAAACAAAAAAGGGAACACAAAAAAACCGACAAAAAAAATCTAAATACAAAGACGAGTGATAAAAGCGACAAGAAATCTACCAAAATAGCGAAAAACACTAAGAAAATACAAAAAGAGGTCAAAAAGCTGTACAAAAACGACAAAAATTGCACAAAAAAACTCTAAAAATATAATAAAAAGGTACATAAAAACGGCAATAAAAAAGCAATTTTTTAAAACAAAATTTTGTGAGCACATCAACTACTTTTTGGTAAAGATAACAAAACGGAAAAAGCTACAAGAAGAGCACCAAAAAAGGCAACAAAAGGAGGAAAAGGAGCAAAAAGGGGACAAAAATTGCGCTAAAAAAGTAATCAAAAGAAAAACGACAACAAGAAGCACAAGAATAAGGTAATAAAAGCTATAAAAAAGCGAAAATAGTTTGATTAAAAAAGTGACAGAAAAGAAACGAATAAAGAAAAGGTGGGATAAAAACGCAACAAAAGCGCGGTAACTAAAAGATATAAACAAACAAACGATAAAAAATGAGAAAAATATGACAAAAAACGATCAAAACAACTTTAGAAAAAAAGGGGGAAAAAGCGACAAACAAAAGCACAAAAAGTCGACAGACAAAAAAGATGATATAAAAAAAAAACGATCTAGAGTAGGCAATGAAAGCTAAAAAAGGTTATAAATAAAAGCCTAAAAAAGCTAAAACAAGGGACTAAAAATATGAGACCAAAAATGTCAAAAAAAAAACGTTAAAAACGACAAAAGTATAGCAAGAAATGGCCAAAACATTTACGAAAAAGTTCAATAATCTCTTTCAAAAATCAAATACCACGGGACCCCAAGATTCTTACAAATTCGTTCTAGAAGGGTCCTTCAAAATTAAAAAAAAAAGTTTCCAAAAGTAATTTAAATTAAAAAAAAACCCATGTAGGGACATCAAGATATTTAACGAAAAAGGTCAGGACGAAAAAGGATAATAAGGACGAAAAAGACGAAAAAGGACGAAAAAGGACGATAAAGGATAATAAGGACGAAAAAGGACGAAAAAGATAATAAGGACGGAAAAGGACGAAAAAGGATAATATGGACGTAACGGACGATAATCAGGACGGAAAAGGTCGAAAAGGACGAAAATGGATAATAAGGACGAAAAAGGACGAAACGATCGAAAATGGATAATAAAGACGAAAAAAGACGAAAATGGACGAGAAAGAACGAAAAGGACGAAAACGACGAAAAGAACGAAAATAACAAAAAGGGCAAAAGGGACAAAAAGGATAAAAAGGGTAAAAAGGATTTTGGGGGGGTAACTATGATTTTTCGGTGGGAGTAAGCATGATTCACCAGCCGGAGTAACTATGACTCTCCGGTGGGAGTAACTATAAATTTCCGGCAGGAGTAGCTATGACGAAAAAGGACGGACAAGGATGAAAAAGACAGAAAAGAACGAAAGACGAAAAAAGAGGAAAAAGAAACAAAGAGGACGAAAAAGGACGGCAAAGGACGAAAAAGAACGGAAAGGACGAAAAGGGACGAAATTGAACGAAAAAGGACGAAAAGGACGAAAAAGGACGAAAAAGGGCTACAAAGGATGAAATAGGATAAAAAGGACGAAAAAGCATGCAAGAGGACGAAAAAGGACAACAAAGGACAATAAAGGATAATAAGGACGAAAAAGGACTAGGACGAAAAAGGACGAGGACGAAAAAGGACGAAAAAGGATAATAAGGACGACAAGGGACAAGAAAGCGTAATTAGGATGAAAAAGGACGACAAAGACGAAAAAGGATAATAAGGACGAAAAAGGACGAGAAGGACGAACAAGAACGAAAAAGGACGAAAAAGGACGAAACAGGACGAAAAGGATGAAAGAGGACGAGAAAGGATGAAACAGGACGAAAAAGGAAAAAAAGGAGAAAAAATGATGATAAGGACGAAAAAGGATAATAAGGACGAAAAAGGACGAAAAGAACGAAAAAGGACGAAACGGACGAAAAAAGACGAAAAAGGACGGAATGGACGAAAACGGACGAAAAAGGAAAATAAGGACCAAAAGGGACGAGAAGGATGAAAAAGGTCGAAAAAAGGACGAAAATCACGAAACAGCACGAAAATTACGAAACAGGACGAAAACGGACGATTAAGGACGAAAAAGGAGGGAAAAGGACGAAAAGGACGAGAAAAGACGAAAACAGACGAAAAGGGACGAAAACGGAGGAATAAGGACGAAAAAGGACAAAAAGGGCCAAGGACGAAAAAGGATAATATGAACGAAAAGGACGAGAAAGGACAAAAAAGGACTAAAAAGGACGAAAGAGGAGAATAAAGACGAAAAAGGACGAAAAAGGATAATAAGGACGAAAAAGAACGAAAAGGACGAAAAAAGATAATAAGGACGAAAAAGAACGAAAAGGACGAAAAAGGATAATAAGGACGAAAAAGGATAATAAGGACGAAAAAGGACCAAACGGACGAAAAAGGACGAAAAGGACGACAAGGACGAAAAGGACAAAAAGGGCAAAAGGGACGAAAAGGATAAAAAGGTTTTTTAGACTTTTTTAAAAATTAGAAGATCAGGGAATCCCGAAATTCTTTCGCACTCATTCTAGGAGGTTTTTGCAAATTTTTCCAAACACAAAACACCAGGGGCTTCCAAAATTCATTTAAATTCTTAAAACGTATACAAAAAGGACTCCAAGATAATAAAAAAAAAGTTTAAACGAAAATAGAAGAAGACCCAAGTTTTTTTAAATTTTTTAAGAAAACAAAATCCAAGGTATTCAAAATTCTTTCAAATTCCTTCCAAAATAAAATATCAGAGCTTTCTAAGATTCTTTCAAATTCGTTGAAGGAAGAAATCCACCAAAATGGCGAAATAAACAATAAAAACAGCAAGGAAATTAAAAAAGTGGTCAAAAAGCTATAAAAACCACAAAAAAATTGCCCAAAAAAAGCCGACAAAATCAGGTGTTAAATAAAAAAGTGTATAAAATGGGCTATAAAGAAGTTTTTTTCCATAATAAAATTTTCTGAGCACATCAATAATTTTTTGGTAAGGACAATAAAAGCAGAAAAAAGCTACAAGAACAACAAAAAAAAAGCGGAAAAGGGAAAGAAGGGAACAAAAAGTGACAAAAAAGGTAATAAGAAGAAAGAGGAAAACAAAAACATAAAAATAGGATAATAAAAGCGACAAAAAAAAGTTTCATAAAAAACTGGCAAAAAAGAAACGAAAGAAAGTAAAAGAAAATGCACAAAAAAGGTGAGACAAAAACTCAAAAAAACACGGTAACAAAAGGATATAAACAGACGACAAAAAAGGAAAAAAAAAAGGAGAAAAACATGACAAAAAGGCTAAGGGGGAAAAGCAACAAATAAAAGCACAAAAAAGACAACATAAAAAACGATAAAGAGAAGACAAAAAGATAATGAAAACTATAAACAAAAGCCGAAAAAACTAAAACAAGGGACTAAAAAAACTTTGAATTTGTTAAGCCTAATTCGCCATTTGACGTAGTAAAATTCATCTCATCAAAAAAAAAAAACAATGAAAGTCAGAAAGAGGTGGTGGGTGGAAATAGTTTTACGTTTTTTGTCTAGATTTCGTTGTTTGTCAGTACAAAATTCCTCTTTTGTCCAATAGAATAAGTGATCAGGAGGAAAACCGGGTGCGTGGGCGGGGCCAGTTTGAATATTTAGAGGTATATTAGGCCACTCGACAAAATAAAAAATAAAATTCAATTTCCAGCCAATCAGATAAGCCAATGAAATTCAAAAGTGGAGGTAGGTGGGGTTAGTTTTAGATTCCACTATTATTCAGTATAAAATGCACTTTTCGGACTATAAAATGAGTGACCAAAAAGAAAATCATCTCATACTAAATAAAATAAGCCAATGAAATACAGATGCGGAGGTGGGTGGAGTTAATTTTACCTTTTGGTCTATTTTTCAATTGCTTGTCCATATAAAATCCAAAACCAATACAATGAGTGATTAATTTCATTGGCTCTTAATTAAAGATGAATCTCCTCTTGACAACCATAATATTTCGTAACTGACAAGAGTGCAATTATTCTACATGGTTTGTGCATTTTATCGAAGTTACAGAAAATTTCAATATTTTTTTAATCGTTCCAAATTTGCATTTTGTTCGAAAATATGCCAAACTTTTTAAAAATAGGCTGAGAACGAGAAATGTCAAATTTTTAACATTCACGCACACAACTCCGCCGATCTTTTTGAACAACAATCCAAACTCCAAACCAAATCTCCAAACAACTTTCATTCTCAAAAACAAAAAATATTTTTCAAACCTTCACCTACCCTTGACCCCATTTTGCACACCACCGCGACCAAACAAACATTCGCTAATCTCCTCTTTATAGGTGAATAAACTCCTGCGTGACGTGTTTCGACCTTACAAAGACAGAATCACTTTCATAATTTATTTCCGCAGCACCTGGCCACGAAATCGAGAGAAAACCAGTAGCGGCAAGCTCTTTCGAGAGGAAGGTACCACCATGGTTAAAAGAGTCGTAGTAGCGACAATTTTAGGGTTGTGTGCGTTTATTGCAGCTGAGCACGACCACCATGCTCACATCCACAAGGTAATTTAATCTACAGTGCTTTGACCTTCTTTTTTTGGCTTGAGTTTATCGTACTGACGGTACGGTTTACTATCTGTGGCCAAAGGTGCCAAAACTGGTTTTATTCGGTTCAGAGCGTGAGGATTAACCAGAAAAGCGGTTTATTGTTTATCGTCACCTTTTGAACGATACGACCAAGGTCATCGCATGGCGTGCTTTGCTTTACGTAAAGTACGACATCAGTACCAACATTCAGAGATAAGATCAGCACTCGGATTAGAGTTTCACACTTTAATGCTTTTTGGTAATACTTTGTTTGGTTTGTGAAGGAAATGGAGGCTGACGGCATCGTCCCCACCATCCTCCCCACCGCCCCCCACGCCCACCTCCACATCACCTACCCCAACGGCAAAAAGGTGCACCTAGGGGAAGAGCTCACTCCTTCGGACGTCAAAGACGAGCCCGCCGCCAAATGGGACTCCAACCCCCAAAAGTACTACACTTTGGTCATGTTCGACCCCGACGCCCCCAGCAGGGAGAACAACACCTTCGCGGACGTCAAGCACTGGCTTATCGGGAACATCCAAGGCGGCGATTTGAGTACCGGTGACGTCATAGCGGAGTACTTTGGGTCCGGGCCACCCAAAGGCACCGGTCTGCACAGATACATTTTCGTGGTTTACGAACAAAAGGATAAATTGACGTTCGATGAACCCAAAAGCGGGAAACTATCAAGGGCTCATCGCCTGAAGTGGTCGTTGAAAGGGTTCGTGGAGAAGTACGACCTAGGAGACGCCCTAGCCGGGGATTATTTCAAAGCCCAATGGGACTCCTACGTGGACGAGAGGAACAAATTTGTTAGTAAGGTTTAGTTTATCTGCTTGTTGTCATTGTTTTATCAATAAATGGATGGCGTCGTGGAAGTTGTTATCTTTTGATCAGGTTGGATGAATTAACGTTTTTGGAATTTGAGCTGATTTAACTGGTTTCGAGCCAGACTAGGGAACTTAAATAAAAAATGTTTTCTTATTTTCATATTTATTCCTGCATCACAATATTTCCACTTCACGTACCGGCCAACTTCTTGTTGACCTCCTCCACGTACTCATCCCACTGCGCCACATAATAATTCCCCGCCACCGCCACCCCGAACCCGTACTTCCCCGCGAACTTCCTCGCCGAAAAGTGCCTCCTCCCCTCCCTCGTGGTATCGGGAATCTTCTCCTCCTCGAACTCCACCTTCCCCTTCTGCTTGTACAACAAAAACGTGTACCGATGCAAATCGGAGTCCTTCGGAGGCGCCGAACTCAAGAACTCCGCCAACACCTCCCCTTTACTCACATCCCCTCCAGGAATATTGCCAACCAACCAGTGCAAAAACTCCCTGCGGATGGGGTTGGCTCTACTGGGGGCGTCCGGGTCGGTGAATACCAGAGTGTAGTAGGAATTGTCTTCGGGCCACCATGCTACCGAAGGGGGTGAATTTACCTGGGTGGGGGTTAATTCGTTCCCTAAGTCGACTTGGAGGGTGCCGAATGTGACGACGAGGGTTGATCTAGGGGCTTCGTCGACGACATCAGGGATGATTTGTTCGTTTTTGAATTTGGCTTCTAGAGTCATTTTTGTTGAGAGGTTTTAGTGCACGTAAATGACAAAAAAGTGTGTTCTTGTTAGTGAATCGTTATCAGTGTTGATAATTTGATTTGAGGTGTTATCGCGTTTTGAGATTGGATGAGTTGGCGATTTTGTTGTGGTGTTTATTTTTGCTGTACCAATTGGCGATACAATTTATAATTATTTTATTCACCCTATGGATTTTTATTGACCTACATTCTGTGCTGTTGGAAGCAAATAATTTAAATTATTGTTTATTATCGTACATAATTTCTGCCATTTTTTTGTCTGGGTTAACATCAAAAAGGCGACACTAAATGTTTGGTTTTATCTTTTTATAATTATGTCCTTTGTCCTGTTGGATACGTCACCAAATGTTGATGTTTAGTCTCAAACATCGTTATAATACTTACTTATCTCATTAGGGGCTAATTAGCTTAGTGTTGTTGTTAAACAATAAAATCCTTCTCTTTCTACCGTCTATTTTTAGACCGTTATTTACATAACTGTTTTCGTGTTAAATAATTTAATAACATTCAGAAGAAAATGTTAATGTTTCCTGGTAGTTTCGGCCTAGGATTTAACTTAATTTATTATAAATATTTTACACGATTTGCAAATAATAAAAACAACAACATTACTTTTCAAGAAAAAAGTCTAAAGGTTACAGATAAGTCGGCGTAAAAGCCGGACTTTTGCATGACTGATCATTGTTCACATGCTTTGGGATTAACCAACTTTATTATTAATAACTTATTACGAAGCCACCTAACAACAAATGTTAACAAAAAGTTCATTTGTGTTTTATAAAAGTGTTTAACCATTTAATAAGCTTGTAAAATTTAAATTTATTTTGTGGATCATGACACGACTCATTAATTGAGATAAAATTATAATTTATAAGGAAATACATTTTTTAAGAAATGGTGTCACGTTGAAGCGCGGAAGTTTTGCTATCAACGAAATGTAGAATACTAGACCTCAAGATTTGCGGATATTTATAAATAAATAGCAAAAATAAAAAAATGAGATCGAATTCGGCATTACAATAATTAAAGATCTCATCTTTTCGAACCACTAACTAGATATTTTTATCTCCTAATTGTACCTGCGGCTTCCTTTACCCCTCTTTTTCTCTTTCTCTATTTCATTCCTTTACTCCTACCTGTTTCTGTTTCTTCCGTATCAGTCTTTTTTATCTTCTCTCTCTGTTAGTTTATGTGTTTATCTCTTCATCCGCTTACCTCCTTCAGGTTTTTTTTCTTCTCATACTCTTCATTTCTCTACAAGTTCTTCTTCTCTCTTTCTATATTGGTCTCCTCTATCTGAATTATGTTTTTCTCCAAATTCTTCCTCGTTTTGTTCAGATTCCCTCTCTTTTCGAGTGTTTTCTGTCTCTTCGGGTTTTCCCTCTCTCCATATTTTCTCTTCCTCCAACTTTTTCTCTCTCATTAAAGTTTCCTTCTTTTCGCAAGTTCTTTCTGTTTGTTCGAATTCTTTTTGCTTCTCTCTCTCACCCCAGGTTCTCCCTTCCTTTCTTCCTAGGGTCTCTCTCTCTAGATTCTCTCTCTTCAAATTCTTTTTTTTTTATTTCTTCATTTCCAGGTTCATTTTCTTTTTTTTCAAGATCTCTTTTTTTTTCTCTTAAAGTTCCCTCTCTTGCTACTAGGCTGTCTACATCGCTCTCCAGATTATTCTTCTTTTCTCTCTCTCCAGATTTTCTCTTTTTCTTTTTTCACGGGGTCCTTTCTCTCTGTGTGTGTGTTTAGATTTTCTCTTATCAGATTCTCTCTTTTTCTTTATTCCTTCTGTATAGCTCTTCACGTTCTCTCTCTTCAGATTCTCATTTCCTCTCTCTCTCTCGGTTGTTTCTGCTTCTCTTTCTTTATCTTCATATTCTCTCCCTTTAGATCATTTTTCAGGTTCTTTCTCTGTTGTTAATTTCGTCCTTTCCAGGTTTCTTTTTTCATGTTCTCTGTGTTTTCAGATTCTCTTGTTTCAGGTTCTTGTTTTTCAGGTTTTTTCCTTCTCTTTAGATTCTCTTACTCTCCATGTTCTCTTTTTTTTTCTCTACAGACTTTCTCTTTCTTGCTCTCTAGGCTCCCTACCACACTTTAGAAGTTCTGTACATTCAGGTTGTATTCCTCGTTCTGTCCAAATGATTCCCTTTGTTCTTCTCCAGGTTCTCGTTTCTTTCTCTCCAGATTCTCTCTCTTTCTCCTAGCGTTCTCTCTTTTGCTCTCCTTTCTCATTTTCCGTAGTCTCTCTCTCTTTCTTTCTCTAGATTCTCTTTTTTCAGATACTTCCCTGTCTAAGTTTTTTATCTTCAGGTTGTATCCGTCTATCTGTCCCGATTATTCTCCGTTTCTTCCTTTCAGGTTTTCTCTACTTCTCTCTAGATTTTCGCTGTGTGTCTTCAGATTCTCCCTCTCCTATCTCTCTCTGTCTCTGTAGGGTCTCCCTCTCTCTTTCTCTTTTCAAGTTCTTTTTTCTCTCAATATTTTTTTTTCAAAGTTCTCTCTTCCAGGTCTCCTCATTTCATGTTTTCTCTTTTTAAGTTTTCTTTCACTCCACATACGTGTCTATTTCCTCAAAGCTCTATGTCCCTTTCTTTGCAGGCCCGTTTTTCCACTATTTCTCACCAGGGTTGTCTACCTTTCTCTAAGTTCTTTCGCTTCAGATTTTTCTGTTCTTTCTCTCTGTGTTGTTTCTGCTTCACCCCAGGTTCTCTCTTTCTTTATCTTCAGATTCTCTCTCTTTAGATCATTTTTCAGGTTCTTTCTCTGTTTTCAGGTTCTCTTGCTTCAGGTTCTTGTTTTTCAGGTTTTTTCCTTCCCTTCAAGTTCTCTTTCTCCCCAAGTACCAAGTTCTCTTTTTCTTTCTCTACAAATTTTCTCTCTCTTTCTCACTAGGGTCCCTACCTCCATTTCCAAGTTGTATTCCTCTTTTTACTCAAATTATTCCCTTTCTTCCTCTCCAGATTTTCTCTTCCTCCAATTTCTTCTCTCTCATTAAAGTTTCCTTCTTTTCGCAAGTACTTCCTGTTTGTTCGAATTCTTTTTGTTTCTCTCTCTCACTCCAGGTTCTCCCTTTCTTTCTCCCTATGTTCTCTCTTCAAATCCTTTTTTCAAATCTTTTTCTCTTTTTTTTTATTTCTCCATTTCCAGGTTCTCTTTTTTATGTTCTATCTTTTGAGATTCTCTCTTTCAGGCTTTCTCCCTCCCTTCTCTTCTTTTTCCTTCCACATACCCTCTTTTCTTTCTTCACAGGGTTTCTTTCTCTCTATGTATGTGTTTAGATTTTCTCTTATCAGATTCTCTCTTTCTCTTTGTTCCTTCTGTCTAGCTCTTCACGTTCTCCCTTTAGATCATTTTCAAGTTCTTTCTCTTTTGTTAATTTCGTCCTTTCCAGGTTTCTTTTTTCATGTTCTCTCTGTTTTCAGATTCTCTTGCTTCAGGTTCTTGTTTTTCAGGTTTTTTCTTTCCCTTCAAATTCTCTTTCTCTCCATGTTCTCTTTTTCTTTCTCTACAGACTTTCTCTCTCTTGCTCACTAGGCCCCCTACCTCCCTTTCCAAGTTCTGTACATTGAGGTTGTATTCCTCTTTCTATCCAAATTATTCCCTTTCTTCCTCTCCAGGTTCTCTATTTCTCTGCAGATTCTCTCTCTCTCTCTTTCTCCTAGCGTTCTCTCTTTTGATCTCCTTTCTCATTTTCCGTAGGTTCTCTCTCTTTCTTTCTCTAGATTCTCTCTCTTCAGATCTCACTTTTCAGGTTCTTGTTTTTCAAATTTTCATTCTTTTTTTCTTTCTCTCCAGACTCTCTGTTGGTTGTATTCGTCTGTCTGTCCCGATTATTCTCCGTTTCTTCTTTCCAGGTTTTCTCTGTTTTACTCCAGGTTTTTTTTATTTCTCTTCAGATTCTCTCTCTGTGACTTCATATTCTCCCTCCTCTCTCTGTGTGTGTGTCTCCGCAGGGTCTCTCTCTCTCTCTCTCCCTTTTCAAGTGCTTTTTTTTTCGTTCAATATATTTTCTTTCTCTGTGTGTTGTTTCTGCCTCACCCCAGGTGCTCTCTTTCTATCTCTCTAGATTCTCTTTCTCTCTTTTGCCTGTGTTTTCTCTTTCTCCTTTCGTTTTCTCAGCAAGTTCTCTCTCTGGAGATTCTCTCTCCTCGGATCATTTTTCACATTCTTTCTCTGTTTTCAATTTCTTCCTTTCTAGGTTTTTTTCATGTTCTCCCTTTACAGGCTCTCTGTTTTCAAGTTCCCTCACTTCAGGTCCTTCTTTCCCAGGTTTTTTTCCCTCTCTTTGCTTCTCTTTATCTCCAAGTTCTTTTTTTTTCTTTTCAGACTCTCTCTCTCTTTCTCTCTTTCTCTTGCTTACTAGGCTCTATACCTACGTTTCTAAGATCTTTGCATTCAGGTTGTATTCCTCTGTCTATCTAGATTATTCTCCCTTCATTCCCCTCCAAGCTCTCTTTCTTTCTCTCCAGATTCTCTCTCTTCCTAGATTATCTCTGTCCAGGTCTCTTTTTTCAGGTTTCTCTTCTTTTTTCAATTTCTCCCTTTCTAAGTTCTCTTTTTTCATATTTTCTCATTTTCAGGTTGTTTTTTTTCAGACTCTCTGTTTTCAGGTTCTTGTTTTTTAGATTTTGTTCCTCCCTTCAAGTTCTCTTTCTTTTTCGTTCCAAGTTCTCTTTTTCTTTGTCTACAGACATTCTCTCTCTTGCTCACTAGGCTCCCGGTTCCTAGATCTTTACATTCAGGTTGTATTCCTCTCTTTATATCCAAATTATTCCCTTTCTTCCTCTCCATGTTCTCTCTTTCTTTCTCTCCAGATTCTCTCTCTTTCTCCTAGCGTTTTCTCTTTTGCTCTCCTTTGTCATTCATTTTCCGCAGATTGGTTCTCTCTCTCTCTTTCTCTAGATTCTTCCTCTTCGAATCCCTCTTTTTGGGTTCTGGTTTTTCAGGTTTTCTCCCTTCCTTCAAGTTCTTCTTTTTTCTCTTAATATATTTTTTTCTCAAAGTTTCAGGTTTCCTCGTTTCACGTTTTCTCTTTTTAAATTTTTTGTTTCGCTCTATATCTGCCTTTTTTCTCAAAGCTCTCTAGGTCCCTTTCTTTCCAGGCCCTTTTATCCACTCTTTCTCACCAGGGTTATCTACCTTTGTCTAAGTTCTTTCTCTTCAGATTCTCCTTTTCCTTCTCTCCGTGTTGTTTCTGCTTCACCCCAGGTGCTCTCTTTCTTTCCCTCTAGATTCTCTTGATCTCTTTCGCCTGTGTTTTCTGTTCCTCCTTTCCCTTTTACGGCAGGTTCTCTCTCTCTAGATTCTCTCTGATTTTTCAGGTCCTTTCTCAGTTTTCAATTTCTTCCTTTCTAAGTTTTTTTCATGTTCTGCCTTTTCGTCTCTCTATTTTCAGGGTCCCTCACTTCGGGTCCTTCTTTCCCAGATTTTCTCCCTCTCGTCAAATTCTGCTTCTCTTTCTCTCCAAGTTCTCTTTTTCTTTCTTTTCAGACTCTCTCTTTCTCAGATCTTTACATTCAAGTTGTATTCCTCTTTCTGTCTAGGTTATTCTCCTTCCTTCCTCTCCAGGCTCCCTTTCTTTTTCTACAGATTCTCTCTCTTTCTCTTTGTCGATTCTCTCTCTTCAGGTCTCTCTTTTCAGGTTCTTCCTCTTTTTTTTTCAATCTCTCCCTTTCTAAGTTTTCTGTTTTCATTTTTTCCCTTTTTAGGTTATCCCTTTTCAGGTTTTGCCCCGCCCTTCAAGATCTCTTTTTCTTTGTCTCCAAGTTGTCTTTCGCTTTCTCTTCAGACTAGGACTCTCTTGCTCAATAGGGTCTATACATTCCGTTTATTTTTCTTCACGTTCTCTCTATTTCACTCCAGGTTCTCTCTTTATTTCTGTCCAGATTCTCCCTCTCTCTTTATCTTCAGGTTCTTTTTAGTTCAAGTTCTTTCTTTCAAGTTTCCTCGTTTCATGTTTTCTCTTTTTAAGTTTTCTTTCACTCTATACCTGACCTTTTTCTCAAAGCTATCTGTCCCTTTCTTTGCAGGCCCTTTTTCCACTCTTTCTCACCAGGGTTATTTACCTTTGTTTAAGTTCTCTCTCTCTTCAGATTCTCCTTTTCCTTATCTGTATGTTGTTTCTGCTTCACCCCAGGTGCTCTTTTTCTTTCCCTCTAGATTCTCTTCCTCTCTTTCGCCTATGTTTTCTGTCCCTCCTTTCCCTTTCACGGCAGGTTCTCTCTCTCTAGATTCTCTCTCCTCGGATTATTTTTCAGGTTCTTTCTCTGTTTTCAATGTCTTCCTTTCTAGGTTTTTTTTTTCATGTTCTCCCTTTTCGGGCTCTCTGTCGTCAGGGTCCCTCACTTCAGGTCCTTTTTTCCCAGATTTTTTCCCTCTCTTCAAGTTCTGCTTCTCCTTCTCTCCAAGTTCTCTTTTTCTGTTTTTTCTGACTCTTTCTCTCTCTCTGTGTGTTGCTTATTAGGATCTGTACCTCCGTTTCTAAGATCTTTACATTCAGGTTGTATTCCTCTTTTTGTCTAGGTTATTCTCCTTCCTTCCTCTCCAGGCTCTCTTTCTTTTTCTACAGATTCTCTCTCTTTCTTTCTTTCTCTCTCTCTCTCTTCAGGTCTCTCTTTTCAGATTCTTCTTCTTTTTTGCAATCTCTCCTTTTCTAAGTTCTCTTTCTGTTTCTCTCTAAGTTATCTTCTGCTTTCTCTTCAGACTTTCTCTCGCCCTTTCTTTCTCTTCACGTTCTCTCTGTTTCACTTCAGGGTCTCTCTTTATTTCTCTCTTTATCTTCAGGTTCCTTTTGGTCCAAGTTTTCTCTTTCAGGTTTCTTCCTTTCAAGTTCTCTCTTTTTAAGCTCTCTTTCTCTCAATATAGTTTTTTTTAAAGCTCTCTATCATTTTCTTTTCAGGTTCTCTTTCTCTGCTTTTCACCAGGGCTGCTTATATCCCCCTCTAGTTTCTCTCTCTTCAGCTTCTCTCCCTCTTTCTGTTCAAATTTTTCTTTCCTTTCTCTCTAGGTTTTTTCTATTTCATTCCAGGTTCTCTCTTTCGTTCTCTCCTGATTCTCTCTCCCTTTATCCTCAAATTGTCCCTTTCCCACCTGTCTCGTTTTTCGCAGGTTCCCTTTCTCTCTGTGTTTCTATATTTTCTCTCTTTGAAGAAAGACCCGAGTGCTTTTTCTTTTTCTCTCAATATACTCTTTTTTGCTACAGTTTTCTTCTCAGGTTTTCTTTTTTAATTCTCTTTTCTTCCTCTTCAGTCTCTCTCTCTCTCTCTTGGTCAGGTCAGGTCTTTCTCTCGATTCTCTCTCTCTCTCTTTCTACTTTCTCGTTCTCTGCAGGTTCTCTCTCCCTTTTCAGCTTCTTCCTCTTTTTTCAATTTCTCCCTTTCTCAGTTCTCTTTTTTCATATTTTCCCTTTTCAGGTTATCTCTTTTCAGGCGCTCTGTTTTCAGGTTGTCTCGCTTCAAGTTCTTGTTTTTCAGGTTTTTCAGATTCTCCCTCTCTCTTTCTATATCTTCAGGTTCTTTTTGGTCCAAATTCTCTCTTTTCAGGTTTTCTTTTTTTAAGTTCTCTCGTCAGCTTCTTACTCTTTTTTCTAAACGTTCTCTATCCCTTTCGCTTCAGGGTTCTTCCCGGTTCTTCCCCCTTCTCTCTCTCTCTTTCACTCTGTCATTGTCTCTCCCACTCTCTACCATGTATTTACTTTTTTTTCAAGATTACAAGCAGAAAATATCTTCATACGAATTACTTATTAATTGATAATAAATCTATTTATATTAATTCTATTTATTTCAGGCAACGTACACCAAATATAACTCTCAATTATCGTTTTCTAATTTTTTTCAGATCATTTATCCGAATAAACAGTTTAAAACTGAAACTTTCGAAATAACTCGACCTCAGTTAAACGTATTTTGCAACACTACGTTAAATACCAGAATAAACTGGTGCATATAAAAAAAATCTTGAAGCATCATAGAGCAAGCATTGGATTCAAGTGTATCTATCCTACTATCTAGTTTTTATTTGTCAAAATTTTAAGACTTAAATTAAATAACTTGGCAACGTCGCAGAGAAATTTCAAAAATGTAATTTTTTATTCGTTAATCATTTTGAAAAAAAAATCTTTTACAAAAACTAAGAGAATTCATTTAATAATTAAATTCGCTAAAGACACCTTTATTGTCCACACTCCAATTTTAGTACTTTGTCCAGAGACTTCCCACAACGCAGATTCCTTCCCCTATCAGTGTTTATAACCACATTCAATAACAAAGACATTTTTAGGCAATTATGAATGCTTTCTAACTATAAACACGACAATCACAACATTATTGAACCTTATCATATTTTGTCTTGAACCCTTTCTCAACTCGCTTTACACTACCACAGAACAAAAATCACGTTTTTAACCCATTTATTAACAACATAGTAAAACAATAATCATCACTTGAACATGTCGTGGTTCCTCACCCAATTCCCACAGGAACCACCCAAATTCGATAACCCTTCCACCCCATCACATACACACACACATCTTGGACTCCTGATTCGGATCCCGACTCCACTGCGCCTTAAAATAATTCCAGGCAAACACCTTCTCGAACTTGTACTTCTCCCGGAACTTCTTCGTCGAGAACCTCAACCTCTGCATCATCCCGGTCATCTGCCCCCCGAAACTCACCCTATCCTCGTGCTCGAACACCAAGAACACGTACCTGTGCGGCCCCGTCCCTCTCGGCGGCCCCGCCCCCCGGTACTCCGCGATGACGTCACCAGTACTCAAGTCGCAGCCCTTGATGTTGCCCACCAGCCAATGGTTGACGTCGGCCGCAATCGGGCAGCTTCGACTGGGCGCGTCGGGGTCGAACATGTAGAGGGTGTAGTACTTCTGAGGGTCGGCTTCCCACTGGACTTCGGGGGAAAGTCGCACCTCATGCGGGGTGAGGGCGGTACCGAGGTCCACGGGTTTGTTGTTGGGGTAGGTGATGGTGATTTTGGTGGGTGGTACCTCGGGGAGGATGGACGGCACGATGTCGTCGGTGTCCATTGTGGGATTGAGGTTGCGTGTTCGATGGGTGTGGATGTTTTACTTACTGGGAGCGATGGTCAAGTTCGATTTGGTGTTTAATGTTTTAGTGGGTGGCTAATCTAATCGGTATTGATTGGCCTTGGGGAACTGGTTTATGGCGGTTGACGAAGTGGGGGTTGGGTGGGTTATGTAATGTTGGTAATAACAGGTGTATTGTTTGTGTGTATTTGGTGTTGTTTGAGGTGTGTAGGATAGGCAACACATTTTACGCGATGACTTGTGTTTATGGTATTTATAACTATAGTCTTTGCCATTTCTATTGAAACACCACTTGTTGATCGTAAATTTGGCAACGTTCATATTCAGACAATTTTCTAACTAAAAGCCGTTGTCAATCAACCGAAAGCTGTTACCAATTGCTAAATTTTAAGCAAAATCAACAGGTGGTGTTTCAGTAGAAATGGCAAAAGCGATAGTATATATTTAGGTTCGAAAAATGGCAACTTTTAGGAAAATCAGTTTTACGCAACATCTGGTTTCCTTTGAGAATTGAGATCTACATTTATTTTATTATTTTACATAATCAAAAAATTTGGAAAATTGAAAAATTAAAATATTGAAAAATTAAAAAAAAAAAACAAAAAATGAAGTTCCCAAAACTGATGATGTTTTAAAAAATTGAAAAATCGAAAACTTGAAAAATCGGAAAATCTAATAATCAAAATGTCGAAAAATTGTAAAATCGAAAAAACAAGATGGCAAAATTAAAAAATCGAAAAATTAAAAAAAAGGACATATTGAAAAATCTAAAATTTAAAACATTGAAAAATTCAAATATCGAAAAATTGGAAAATCGAAAAATTTAAAAAAATGATGCTAAGACTGAGTTTTTTTAAGGTCTAGAAATCTAAGATTTTGAAAATTACGATTTTTCAGTTTCTCAATATCTCAATTTTTTTATTTTTCGATGTTTCGGTTTCTCGATTTGCGATCCTTCAATATTTGGATTTCTCGATTGGTCAATTTATGGATTTCACGGTTTTTTGGGTTTCAGTTTTCGGATTTTCAGTTTTTGAGTTCTTCAATTTTCTTCGATTTTGAAATTTTTCGATTACTTAAATTTTTGATTACTTAAATTTTCGATTTCTCATTTTGTTTCTTTTTATTTTTCAATTTTTCGACTATTCGCATTGTCGATCTTTTGATGTTTTTTTGATTTTCCGATTTCTCGGTTTCGATTTTTCTGTTTTTCGAATTTGGATTTTTGAATTTGAGAATTTTCGATATTCGAATATTCAGTGTGTTTTCTCTTCGACTTCTAGATTCCGATAGTTTCATTAAATACATTTTCTTGTCGAACTCTAATGGTTTTTCCAGAATCGTCTTTTGAAGTATACAAAAATATGCAAAATTCCACCATTTCGACAAATTTTCAACAAAATTTTCGAAATTTCACTAAATACATTTTCTTGTTGATTTCGGGCCGCAGAAGTCATATCCGCTTTCACTTCTTCGATAAATCCAATAGTTTTTCCAGAATCGTCCTTTGAAGTTTACAAAAACATCCAAAATACCACCAATTTTCGACCCATTTTCAACGAAATTTTCGAAATTTCACTAAACACATTTTCTTGTGTATTTCGGGCCGCAGAAGTCATACCCGCTTTCATTTCTTGGATAAATCCAATGGTTTTTCCAAAATCGTCCTTTGAAGTATACAAAAATATGCAAAATACCACCAATTTTCGACCAATTTTCAACGAAATTTTCGAAATTTCATTAGATATAATATCTTGTAGATTTCGTTCCGCAGAAGTCATATCCGCTTTCATTTCTTCGATAAATCCAATGATTTTTCCAGAATCGTCACTTGAAATATACAAAAAATGCGAAATATCACCAATTTTCGACCAATTTTCAACAAAATTTTCGAAATTTCACTAAACACATTTTCTTGTAGATTTCGGGCCGCAGAAGTCATATCCACTTTCACTCCTTCGATAAATCCAATTGTTTTTCCAGAATCGTCCCTTGAAATATACAAAAATATGCAAAATACCACCAATTTTCGACCAATTTTCGATGAAATTTTCGAAATTTTACTAGATATAATTTCTTGTAGATTTCGGGCCGCAGAAGTCATATCCGCTTTTATTTCTTCGATAAATCCAATGGTTTTTCCAAAATCCTCCTTTGAAGTATACAAAAATATGCAAAATACCACCAATTTTCGACAAAATTTTCGAAATTTCACTAAACACATTTTCTTTTAGATTTCGGGCCGCAGAAGTCATATCCGCTTTCACTTCTTCGATAAATCCAATGCATTTTCCAGAATGGTCCTTTGAAGTATACAAAAATACGCAAAATACCACCAATTTCCAACCAATTTTCAACGAAATTTTCGAAATTTCACTTAACACATTTTCTTGTAGATTTCAAACCGCAGAAGTCATATCCGCTTTCACGTCTTCGATAACTCCAATGGTTTTTCCAGAATCGACCTTTGAAGTATACAAAAATACGCAAAATACCACCAATTTTCGACCAATTTTCAACGAAATTTTCGAAATTTCACTAGATATAATATCTTGTAGATTTCGGGCCGCAGAAGTCATATCCGCTTTCATTTCTTCTATAACTCCAATGTTTCTTCAAGAATTGTACTTCGAAACTTTCAAAAATATGCAAAATACCCCCAATTTTTGACCAATTTTCAACAAAATTTTCTAAATTTCACTAAATACATTTTCTTGTAGATTTCGGGCCGCAGAAGTCATATCCGCTTTCATTTCTTCGATAACTCCAACTGTTCTTCCAGAATCGTCCTTTGAAACTTTCAAAAATATACAAAATACCCCAATTTTCGACTAATTTTCAACAAAATTTTCGAAATTTCGCTAAATACATTTTCTTGTAGGTTTCGGGCCGCAGAAATCATATCCGCTTTCGTTTCTTCGATAACTCCAATGGTTTTTGCAGAATCGTCCTTTGAAACATTCAAAAATAAGCAAAATACCACCAATTTTCGACCAATTTTCAACGAAATTTTCGAAATTTCACTAAATACAATTTTCTTGTAGATTTCGGGCCGCAGAAGTCATATCCACTTTCATTTCAACGGTAACTCCAATGGTTCTTTAAAAATCGTCTTTTGAAACTTGCAAAAATATGCAAAATACCCCAATTTTCGACCAATTTTCAACAAAATTTTCGAAATTTCACTAAATACATTTTCTTGTAGACTTCGGGCCCCAGAAGTCATATCCGCTTTCATTTCTTCGATAACTCCAACGGTTCTTCCAGAATCGTCCTTTGAAACTTTCAAAAATATGCATAAAAAAATATTGTTATTCTAAGCGAAACATGGCTTACCAGCAATGTTAGTTCAAGTGAGTTATTTCCTTGCTTTTTTAATGTATATCGATCCGATAGAACTACTGGTCGTGGTGGAGGAGTTTTGATGGCAGTGAGGAACCAGTATGTTGTAAACAAGCTTGATGTTAGCTCACCGGTACCATCTGTTCAACTTTTAGGCATAAGAATTTCTATAAGCAGTAGACATATTATTATTCTTGCCATGTACATTCCTCCTTCACTCAGTCCTGATGTTTACACTTCCATCTTTGACTACTTGGAAAGTGCCATAGACTTCTCAGTTCCCGTCATGTTATGTGGCGACTTTAATATCCCGGAAATTTCTGAATGTGTGACAGGTACAAGGACAACCCAATTATTTAACATCTACACACAGTTTCTGGCGTTAAATAACTTGGTTCAACACAACAGCATTCTCAATCGCAACAACAGAATATTAGATTTAGTTCTGACGACAGAAAGTTTAACAGTAACTGTAGACAAACAGGAGTTGACATTAGTTACAGAGGATAATCATCATCCTGCTCTAAATATACAACTGGAATTAGTGAACCTGGATAGTGTACCATTTGTACATGGGACTGATGACTTGAGATTTAACTTTCACAGAGGTAATCTGGAAGGGCTCTACCTATCACTTGCTGGGACTGACTGGTTGCCAGTTTTAGATGCTGCTGGCCTGTGAGAAATTCAATGAAATCATTTTTACCAACATCTCCCAATATGTACCAATTTCAAAGTCCTTTGGTCAGCGGGAAAATTACCCTGTTTGGTATACTAGATCTGTTATCAACAAAATCAAAACAAAGAATAGACATTGGGATATTTATAGAAAAACCAAGTCAGTATATCATCTTGATAAAGTGAAGAAGTTACGCTGTGAAATCAGAAAAGACATTAGGTACACATATTATGAGTTTATAAGAAAATCTGAAACTTCTCTACAAAGCCATCCGAAAAAATTTTGGTCGTTTGTTAATGAAAAAAAGAAAGCCACGAATGTTCCTGGTCTCATGACCTTTGAGAATCATACCTTGACATCTCAACAAGACATAGTCAACACATTTGCTAGTCACTTTAAAAGTATGTACAACTGTGATAACGAGAACCATGTCTGCGATGTAATATGCCGTGATAATTGTGAAAATATCTGTGATAACTGTTTTAAATATTGTTGTCCATCTTTTGATGTTAGAGTAGACTGTGTAAAAAATGTTATTTTAAATAGGTTCTCTATAAGTGACAACGACATTCTTAAGGCTGTAAAGGGTATAAAAGCGAATAATGTCTGTGGTGCTGATAACATACCGGCATTTTTGATTGTGGATTGCATAAGTTGTTTTCTATCTCCACTTTGTCATATATTTAATCGGATATTAATATCTTCACAGTATCCAACAGTATGGAAAACGTCAAATGTTGTGCCAATTTTTAAGTCGGGTGACAAGTCGAACATTAAGAACTATAGGCCCATATCTCTCATCCCAAATTTTGCTAAATTGTTTGAGTGCATATTAACAGATGCTATCTATGCCCATGTGAAATCTGATATTATAACTGAACAACATGGTTTTGTCAAGGGCCGCTCCACTACAACTAACTTATGCGAATTCACGCAGTTTGTCTCAAATGCTTTAGATAAAAGATCACAAGTTGATGCTATATATACCGACTTATCTAAAGCATTTGACAAAGTTAATCACTGTATTTTATTAAAAAAGTTGGAAAGTTTTGGTTTATGCGATAATTTAATATCTGTTCTTAAATCTTGGTTAACTGATAGGCAACAACGAGTTTTGTGTAAAGGATTTAGATCGTCGATATATAA